GGGTGTGTCGTTGTGTGTGTGTGTTTTGCGTGATGGAACACAGTGACAGGGTTTCCCCTTTGCTTAAGGGTCTGGATTGCCTGTTCTTCTAAAGTTCAGACCGGTTTGTTAGAAGTGCCACTCAAGGGGGCTCTTGGGCTGGTCAGAACGACTTAGTGAGGTGGGTTGTTTGAGGCACCAGGCCGCCCTCTGGCCAGCACACAAGACAACGCCGGCCTTTTTAGCTCAGACAGACAGACTACAGACCAAAAGCACCTGGTGGAAAAGGGCGGGCAATACATTAAACCATGGGCAGGGGATGAAGGAGAGTTAGACACAGTCTTGATGCTAAATCCCTGCCTTGCTCCTCAGGTTGCGTCTGACTGCAGAATGAAGTCTAACAGGGTGCTTCTTGCTTTTGCTGGCTGTTGCGCTTGATTTTTCAATAAAATTCACTGCTCCAGTGTTACCTTGGTGTTTGACCCTCAAGGTGGCAGGATGATATTTTTGGGTTTCAGGATACCATCCACTTTGGAGTCAAATGTAAGAATCAGTGCAGTCACAAAACAACGTGTTAAGGGTCCAAATTAAATATTATATATCTATAGCTTAACTTTTAGCCTCTCGCCAGCCTTAAGCTTTTATCTTCATCTTTCATGTTGTCTTTTTGGGTGGCTTAACACAATTGATTGGTTTCGCCGCATCTCTAAAACATTGCTAAACACAGAAAAAAGGCAGAGCTGCACAATTACATGACTATTTATTGAAGGTTGCAATATGCAAAGGTGCAGTATCCAAAGCTTGCAAGAAGCATGCAATTTGTTTGGATAAAGGGTAAAAGTGAGCATTCATGAACAGTACTGCCTAGTTCTGCAGGGGAGATACTCCAGACTACGAAATCTTTGTTCTCCAGGACGTTGCTTTTGGCTGGTACAGGGCTGCCAGCAAATGTTTTGGTTTTTGGGTTTTTTTTTTTTTTTCAGTGAAAATTTAAATATATATATATATATATATATATATATATATATATATAAAAGTTGTGAATAATTGTGAATCATATCGTAGCAAATTTGTGTCCAAATAATCGCCATAGGCTTTTTGTACCATATCGTGCAGCCCTAATTCTTAGAGCAAAATAGTAGTAAGCTGCTTTGATTTGATTCACTGACATCACAGTGAATGAGTGGACAGTAGCTATGTTTTCACAAAGCTTAGTATTCTAATTATAATCAGTTTTAAAGCCCGAACAGAATAAAAATGCTCCATATAAACACCTTAATCAGAATATAGAGGCGCAAATAGATTTGTTGCAAGTTTAAACCTTTTCATAAATCGATCAAAAAAGTTTTACCATGTACACGATTTAAAGCTTGTGCCATATTCACTGGAACTTTCACTATATCCTGACAGTAGAACATGTGACAGATAATCTGTGAAAAAAATCAGGTTCCTCTGGCTCCTCCTAGTGCTCCTTATGGTATTTGCAAATATTTTTGGGGATTCTATTGCCATTAAATGCAGAGAGAGGGGATGACACCCAGCAAAGAGCCGCAGGTCAGACTCGAACAAATGGCTGCCACAGCAAGAACTAAGTGCATGTACAGTACATACATAACCTGTAGTTTTTAGACACCAGATGGTAAGAAAGGTTGAGATGTAGAGAGCAAAGACAGATGATTTAATATTGTTAACACAACAAAAACAAACAGTTCTGACTTTTTTTTTCTAGTTCATTAAAACACTTCACAAACATACTTTAGCTTTCATACAACAAGCCTATCAATTATTTTGCATAAGAATTCATTTAATTCAATTATTATGGACTACTAATTTATCAGCTATAATTTAATGATCCCAATAATTCATAATAAAATAAATTTCCCATTATCGGCCAAATATTTGCAATAATTTGCCCAGATAATTATTGTGCATCCTGAATATAAAATCTGGTCCAGGCCTCACTCTAACTCTGCACCTGTATGTGTCCACAGGCCTTGTTGCAAGCCCACGACGTGGTGGCCCACGAGGTTTACAGTGACGAGGCTCTGAGGGTGACCCCCCCGCCCACCTCGCCTTACCTGAACGGAGACTCCCCAGAGAGCACCAACGGAGACATGGACCTGGAGAACGTCACCAGAGTCCGCCTGGTTCAGTTCCAGAAGAACACGGACGAACCAATGGTACGCAGCTGAACACATCTCCTATATACTTACTCACACATTCTGACACTAGAGGTTAGTGCTAAGACTGTATGCACTGTATCATATATACAGATCATACTGCATGTGTTTGTGTGTTAACTCATGCAGGGTATCACGCTGAAGATGAATGACTCAAACCACTGCATCGTTGCAAGGATAATGCACGGGGGAATGATCCACAGACAAGGTACACTTCCTCCTTCTCACAACTGACATTTATACCTACATCTTGATAAAGGGCATTTTATAAATTGCTTCCTATAGGCTGTATGACTCACTATTCACTCATAACCCAACTGAACGCCTTGTAAAATGAGTAAAATAGTCTAATTTGAAAAAGAAAAGCAGTTATTATATCTTATGAATGGTATTTACTATAAACACAGCTTTATCTGTTATGACTAGTGTTACTCAAAAAAAGTACAAATTACTTAAAAAAATAAAAAAGTATAATGCATACATATAAAATGCATGACTTTACTTAATTATTCCTCATAGAATATACTTTGTTACACTACTTGTTACATTTCTTCTGCCTGAAGGCCATTGCACGTTTAAGTAAATACCAAACTATGTCTTTATAGTAGACTAGTGCAGCTTATTTGACATGTTTGTAACGAAAGCAGTGTTATTATTAAGATCGTCCAGGCTAAACAGCCTCTCCACGGATGCACTAGAGTGTGCTGAATTTCATTAATTTTGTTGAGAAACAGTTCGGGATCTCAATCTCTGACCCCGACTTTGAATATTCAGTGACTTTGGTTTTGGAAGCTGTAAAGAAGTCACTCATGTGTTAGGAACAGTAATGTGTTACTTCTTAATGCGTTACACGAATGGTTCTTAAACTATGGTACATGTACCACTGGTGGTAAGTTCTACTTACTTACTTTTAAGTATGTAATAAAACATATAATACTATCAAAATACTACAAAATGTCGAATGAAGTAAACTATGAGGTCACTAAAATTTCAATTTTTTTCAGTTTAGGACATGTCTAAAGTATATGGGTATGGTTACCAATTTGTGTCCTGCAACTTCTCCAGCATTTATCTGAATACATGGCCCCATTTTGGATGTGATCTTTGGTGTTCTAAAGAATCTTATTATTACCTTCCACCTGAATTCCCGCCATGTAGAGTTAGTTACTTGATGTGCTTCTGTACATATTTCCCACTCGTCTTGCTGTATGACTGTGCTCATTTCAGCGACCTTGTACCTGTGGAGTCTTGCAGCCATGCTGTTAGGGGTCTTAACTGTGCAGCCCAGAAATACAACCTGAAGTTTGGGAGTTTGAGGCCTCCACGTGATTTGGATAGCTGGAGTATTTTTAGTCTGACCGTAGGACGCCTTGATTGCCATATACATTTCAAGATCAGCTTGTCTAGTTTTATCAAATGTAGATTTAGGAATATCAACAGGCAGCATCTGAAATAGATAGTAATTTAGGTAGGACATTCATAATTTATGCTCTCGATGCGGCCTGCCATAGAGGAAACGTTGACCATCTGTCCAACTCCTTACTAATATTTTGTTTGTATCATGGTTCTGTAATTCACGTAATGTCTGCTAGTCTTCTAAATGGACAGTCAGAATTTTAAAAAATGAAACTCCTCCATCAGTTTAACTTTAAAAGCAGACCAAAACAAACAGCGTTATAAGTGTTGGTGCTTTACCAGACATTTCAACAGCTGCTCTTCTAGTTGAAGGCAACACTCAGTCGGCTGTATATTTGTACCGCTAATTAATCCCCAGTTGATTTATAATGTGGTAATTGGAAAGCCACCTCGATTACAAAGCATGCTTCTCTCTACTATAGTTGTGATGGGATAAAGAGCAGCGGGGGCTAATGGAATATAGTGTGTCTGTGTAATGAGGACAGAGGTTTGATTGCATGTTTGTCTTTTTTCTCTTTTCTCTTTTCTGGCTCTCTCTCTCGCTCTCTCTGTCTCAGGAACGTTGCATGTAGGAGATGAGATCAGGGAGATCAACAGCATCAGTGTGGCCAACCAGACTGTGGAGCAGCTGCAGAAGATGCTGGTGTGTGTGTGTGTGTGTGTGTGTGTGTGTGTGTGTGTGGTGTGTGTGTGTGTGTGTGTGTGTGTGTGTGTGTGTGTGTGTGTGTGTGTGTGTGTGTGTGTGTGTCGTGGTGTGTGTGTGGGTGAAAATTGCCTAATTACTGTTAATTAGCAAAACATCACATGACCTGAAGATAATACCAAAACTCACAAATATCTCTTTTTGTGTGTGTGTGTGTGTGTGTGTGTCTGCAGGGAGGGAGATGCGAGGCCAGCATCACATTCAAAATAGTGCACAAGCTACCGGCACAGGCTAATTCTGTGAAGGTAAACCTCCTCCTCTTCCTCCCCTCCTTACTGCTGATCTGATTACTAACTGCTCGCCTGGTTACTGAGCGTGTGTGTGCCTGTAACTCAAGTATGCTGTGTGTACGGGGTGTGCTTTGTGTGTATGTTCTGCGTGTGTGTTTTGCTGGGGCTGGGTCAGATATTCAGCACACCAATTTCACAACCAAGATACCGGAACCCCCCCTCCTTCCTTCTCTTTCCCCCTCTGGTCCAGGAATGAGGCACACCTATCTGTGTGATCCCACAGACCACCACAACTGTATACACACTACAGGGTTGGACAGAAAACCAGAAACACCTTACATTTCATGTCTATACAGTCAATGCAAGCCCACTATAGCTCATAATGTGTGACTGGTGCAGGTTTATTTAATGTAGCAAAATATACTCTCAGAAATCCTGAGAGCATATGCATTATGAAAGCCTCAACAACCATCAAGTTAAAGCTGCACTAATCAACCCATAATATATAACATATATACATATATTATATATGTGTTTCACAAGTCTTTTTTCTGTGGACCTACTTTTTAAAACAAAGCATGGCAACCCAGTTGAGATCAGATTTGTGCATATTTAAACGTTCTTGACTATTTTTACGGCTTTTTCTGCATCACCTCATGTTTTCTTGAAAAGGTAAAGCAGCCATTTTGAAAAGATATATACATTTGATAAATCATAAATGTGTTATGTGAATTTGTTATTGAAAACACACTTTCAATACTTGCTTTAGTTAATGTAACCCAGTCTCTTGGAACAATCTAGACTTTTCAAGTGAAGAGCAGAGTATAAGTACTACAGCATAAAACAAATAAATAAAAAAAAAACAATACCAGCATACCAAAACTAAATTGAAGTTCTAAAGCTGAAGCTCCAGTGAATCAAAAACTTTGCTTGTGGAGCAAAAAGGGCTAAACCAGTCAATCCAAGAGGCCTTTTGGGACGGAAGTGAATTCACTAATGTAATCTGGCATCTGGCCATGTAAAAGCTTGTGTGTAATTAACTACAGCAGGTTGTTTTAAAACTGATTGAAAAAGACACTGAAAACCAGTACCAAAGATTCTAAACTTTAAAATGACATGGTTGCTGTGTTTTGTCTTTATTTAGGCTGAAACTGAGTGACAGCTCACAATGCTGCTGCCACACAGCAGAGCTTTTATTTTGAAAAGACACACAGACAAAACCACAGCCCTGCTGTTGACATTTTAAGAGAAACATATCAGGGTTCCCACACATCCTGGAAATTTAGAGACTAGTTTTCCAGTAATGGAAACACCTGGAAATTGATTAAAATGACTGATGACAGATATCCTGTAGGAGCTAAACTACGTAAACCTGTGTGGGTTTGTTTGAAACTGAACTTGACTGAACTGAACTGAACTGTTGGCAGCAGCGCCATATGACACGGAGTGGAACAGAGCAGTGATTTTTCTGGCATCGTAATGAACAAGAGACTCTTCATCATTAAAAAAGGAGGACTAAAACTAGAGTTAAAGGCAATGCTAGGCCAACCGGTACATTACACATTGACTGAATTGTGAAGGAAAAACTCCTGAAAAATGTTCTCATAGAAAAAGTGGGAACCCTAAATATAATTCCATAAATTACACAGTTCAGTTTTTCATCATTAAAAGAATGCACCAAGGTGATTTCTAATTTCACTTTTTAATGATTCGTTTTCTTTACTCATTTTTTTTTTCTGCTGATGATTTAGGTTGTAGAGTACATTGTTAAATGTATGCCGAAACTTCAGAATTTTCAGGTGATTTTAACAGTTAAAACTAAATCATTAGAGTCATTATATATGAAATTATCTGAAAACCCATTCCATAATCATTGATTTAATAGTAATTTCAACACACACTGGCTGCTCTGTGAGCACAGAGACAAATATTTGGCTTGGAGCTGTGACAGTCTGTGTTAGGGATGACCTCATGGTCTCGGCTGCTCAGATCTGATGTTAGTCTACTGCCGCCCTGTGGTGATGTAAGAACGTACAGGCTAGAGGGCTGCTGATGATGTTGTCTCCCATGTCTTGTTGACACATTTCATTACGTCAACACTGTGGCGGGTCTCTGTTGTGTTCTCCATTGCCTACAGTCGCTGCCCAGAAATGTGTGAGTGTGTGTCATTCATGAATGTTTGTGCGTGCATGCATGCCTGTGTGTATGTGTGTGTGCATGGGTGTGTGTGGTGGCTGTGCGCTGCTGACCTGTGTGTCTTATTTCAGAAAGAGTCCCCCACCACCTCCAGGCAGTCCCCTGTCAATGGCCACTCCAGCATTAACAGTTCTATCTTGGTAAGGACCCCTCCCCCAGAAAAACCCCCACAGACCATTCCTCTCTCCTTTCCCCCTCCAGTGCGTCTCATTTGTTGATGTGTCACGGTATTTTTACATGTCCGTGTTGATCCGTTTGTCCGTGTAGTTGTCCACTTATCATGACTTGTGTTATTTCTGTTTACTGTGATTGTTCCAGTAGTAGTAGAAGTAGAATTAGCAGTACGTTGACCGCACTGTAGACCTCCTGAGCCGATCCCGTGTCATTCTCCCCGTTCCATCTGTTTGAACCAAAGACCCCCATGTCCGATATCTCAGTTAACAAATTGGTGTGCCTCATAAAGCCTGCTGCGTGCTGTGCTGACACAACACACTAGGCCTCCCGTGGTCGCAGTTGTACAGGGGACACACTCCAGGCTCCTGCTGTGCATTACACTAAACCCTAATCAGGTTCTGCAGTCCCTTTTGTTTCTCCTCCAAGGCTTCCAGACAGACACTGTGGTCGTGCTGATGCTGCAGTTGCTTTGCTTGCTCTGTGCTTGCTTGTTTGCTCCACAGACAAATCTGCTTTAACAGATGAGAATTACTCTGTTCTCTTTTCCACTTTTCTCACGAGTTAGATTGCAGATGAATGTGCATGCACGCTTTCTCAAAAGAATATCATTTTATTATTATTTTTTGTTTCACTTTAGTATTTGTATCTTGCTTAACTGTGTCTTTCTGTCATCAACGGTTTACCTCCACAGGACCTGCCATCCACCATTCAGCCCAAGGGTCGACAGGTGAATAACAGTCACTCACTCACTCACCTGTACTAACTAGCTCCTTATACAACGCTTGCATCCCTCCCCTTTTATAGTGTCTCAATTCTCCCTGATTTTCTTAATGCTTCACAAAACCAGTATATTTGATTGATTAAAAGAGAGTTATTTGTTTTACTCTGCAGGCTATCCAGACTGTCACTCACGATGAGAGTGGCCGAGGTGTGACCTCTTTATAAACTTTGTTTTAAATTACTAAAGGAGAAATATTGGGTTTTGGGCCGTCTACAAAATCCATTACATTTAAATTCTATCATTTTTGCAGCTCTTCAGCTTTATGAGAGTGAAGAGAGGAGCCGACAGAATGCATCTGGATTTAAATTAAGCTTTGTTTGAGGGTGTTTTGGGAAATAACATTTTATTTATTTAGAGAACACAATGCTTCTCTTCAAATCCAAGAGGGAGACAGAATGGTATTAATGCACATACATCAGTCTGTCTTTGTATATCCAGTTGGTAAAAGAAGCCAGAGATCCAGACCAGTTGTGTCACCCACACCACACACACTTTTGTGATCTTTTTCTCCTCATCTGTGCTCTTTAACAACCACACCTCCCCTCCACAGACAAACACATCAACAAATCACACTGCAGTGGTCATTTCGTGTTCTACTAAGTAGTAGAAATTGCCGGGCACAATTTAAAACAGACCCATGAAAAACCTTCCAGATCTCCATGTGCATACCAGTATATACATTTTCTTATCCAGAAGGGACCAAGCACAGTCAGAACCAGTCTGAAATAGACTCGTGGATAACCAGACCTGATCCAACATGTGGCCAACTCAGATAGACCCGAACAGTGAGAGCACACCAACAAATGTCAGCAGTATGATGCTCCACCAACTAACAATCCTTTCTCACACTCCATCTCGCCTCAAAAAACACTTCCTGCTGCAATAACAATAACTTACCATGTGATCAGATAGAGATCCTCTTGGATTGACTCAAGTAGGACTGCAACTAGTTATTATTTTGGCAACAAAATGCTGCAGGGATTTTTGTTTTCCAACCCACAAGTTAATATGAACCTGGTTCCTTTCTACAAAAGCCAATGGGATTGTTCCATTGGGTTTTGGATTGTTGCAGGAAATTAGCTCTGTGGTGATCAAAGGTTAATGATGACTTTTTGTTCAGCAAGATAATCTACACAAATTTATGTTTGTATGTATATCAAATTTATATCAGTTTATGATCTTTGAAACTTAAATGTGATCACCAAAAGTAAATAGCTACGGTTAGGCTATAAACAACGTACACACTAATAAAATCTTGGAATTAAAATCTGGAAGTTGTACAGTTTGAGATAGAATAGTTTGCAAGGACGCGAGTAAAAACACAATGAAGCTATAAAGGTGGACTAGTGAGTAGATAGTCTCTGTGTTTTAATGTCACCGACAACTTCTGTAGTCTTATTTAGACACTTGTTAGCAACTGACTTTTTATAAGACACGTAAAAGCTATAGAATTTACAGGTGGGGTATTTACTGACGTATTTTATGACGTAGAACAAAACATGAGAAACTCTTTAGCTTGTGTTAACCACAGACCTTATTTCAAGCATCTAACCAAAAACCCATTCATATCAAGATGAGGGACCTGGAAGTGCTAAAATTGTAGCTCTTATTCCTTTAGTGCTTTTGGTTAATTGAAATTGTTTGGTCTATAAAATATCAGAAAATAGTTAATAGAAATATGTTGTTGTTGTTTTGTCTGGCCAACAGTCCAAAACCCAGGATACTTAAAAGCAGAAAATACTCACATTTTAAGAAACTGGTTGGAATTCTTGCTTTATAAGTGACTGAAACAATTCTTTGATTATCAAAATAGTTGGCAATTTATTGTCACTGGACTAATCATTTTAGTCCTGTTTTTAGCTATTACATATACTGACACACCTGCCCAATAGAGCGGGACCCATTATGAATTGGAACCAGCCAGACTTTTCCCGAGTAAGGTCTCGATTTCCAGGAACTGAGAGTACCTGAAGATCTCCTGGGTTTTCTTACATTGATGTTAGTGAATCAATACAAGTGGCCACTGCTGTGTCATCAACCTGACAGTGTAGCCCTTCACTACTTTACTTAAACTTTATGAATGGTAATAATGGCACAGGCATTGTTGAACCCTGCACAGCCTAAAGATCACACCTAACCACTGATCCCCAGTCAGATATGCCCATTGCAGTAAAATTTGGTTTATGGACTGCTATGAGAACAGGTGTTATGGCAAATCATTACTTCAAGCCAACTAAATTTGTCAGCATAACAATCTTCCATAACTATCATCTCATCCCATCAGTGTCTTCATGTGTATGCACCCTCCTGACACATACATCACCAGTTTCCTCTGAGATAATTCAACGTTACTCATCCAAAATCATATTCTCTCACTCACAACAGAGTGGCATTAAAGGATCTTGTGATTGTACCAACAGCAGATCCTTCCAGTAGAGGGCAGTATACACAGACCTAATACCACAAGCTTGGAAGCCTTAGAGCTGCAGAATTGTCTCATACTTTACTACATGCTGACAGGAAGTAGATATTTTAAAAGTGTTATGAGGTTAAGAATACCTTTGTATACAAAAGTTATGAAAGGTAACTAATAATTTGGTGATTTTCTTTTCAAGTTCAAAAGTAGTAAACATAGCCTCTCTAGGAAAGTGGTTCCCAACCTTTTTCCTTCTTCCTTTTATATTATATTCAGCGCATTAACAGTAGAGGACAACTGATAAAATGTACAATGAACCCAAACAGTGAACACAATAACTGCAGGAAGTTTGTCTATGGGCATTTCCTGTGACTATTGTAACAGAGGTGAGTTTTCCTGATACTTGTAGGAACTCTGTATATTTGCTGTCTGTAATATGTATTTGTATCCTTTTTTTACAATCATACATCCATAACAGGCATATTTTTTGACAAATTCAGTGTTCCTTTCCCTGAAGCTTGGCAATTGTTCTGTTAGTTCTTTGGTTGTTATAACTGCGTACTTTTCTAATGCAGGACAAGGCTGTTTATCACAGAGTGAAGGCTATGTGAATATAGCTTGTGTTCAGGTCTTCTAAGTTTAGATCTTAAATAATAATCTAAACTTTAAGAATAACAATTTCATTTAGTTTTCTTCACAGAAGTAGAGAAGATACTGAGATGTAGGCCTGCTCTATATTTTTCTTTTCTTTTCTTACACTCCTAAAAATTAAGAAGGTCTCTAACCCCAGTTTGGGAACCACTGCTCTAGAATATGGAACAAAAAACACACATTTTTCAGCAAACATTAATGTATACTTACGCCTTATATCATAAATTGAACAGTGGCACAGGAAACATTGCACCGGTGGAGGGATGAATGGAAGAAAAATTTTGTGAAACTAAATAACCAGCAAATTCTGGATCAAACATTACATTTGTATATTTTTTCAGGGACGACGCAGAATTAGAAGTAATTGTAGAGTTACCTAACAGCTGATTTGCCTCTGTTGTCCTGGGCAGGTAATCAAAAAAATTACCACAGAACAGAAAATACATAAAACAGGACAATACATAACAGTCCATCAATGTGAGATAATAAATAGAATCAATATGATTATAAAGACAATGCAATTATAGGTGGTGACATTTTTGTGCTGATTTAAGCCAGAGATTGAGGCCGGTTTTAAACATGGCAAAGCTTCCTGAGTCTCTAATGTTTGTGGGTATGGAATTCCACTTCCTCACTAGCTGGGTTCTACAACAGGATAATGATCCTAAACGTACCTCCAAATCCACCATGGACTACCTCAAGAGCTGAAGGTTTTGGTATGGCCCTCCCAGCCCCCTGACTTAAATATCATTGTAAATATGACCTTAAAAGAGCTGTTCATGCAAGATGGCCCAAGGATATTGCAGAACTAGAAGCGTTTTGCAAGTAAGAAAAATCCCAATTACAAGAACTGATCGACTGATAAAGCTGTAATATCTGCTGGAGGGAGGGGGGTGTTACTAAATTCTGAGTGTAGATTACCCAAACCTTTGTACATGCCACAATGTAGTTTTTTTTTGTTCAGTTTATGATGTAAAAACATAACTATGTATGGCTGTTTGCTGAAGATATTATATTTTATGTGTCTGTGTTTACATCTTTTCAATTAACAAAATCACCAAAACTTGGTATTTGTCAAGGGTTGCCCCAACCTTTGCATACAACTGTACCTTCTGTCACTTCCTTCAACCCCCCAGCCTATCCCCCCTCCACAAACCTTGTCCACCATACTGCTGTTAAGACTTTGCATAGCCTTTTTGCTGCATGATGTATGTGATGCTTTCAAATTCTAGATTGTATCCAGACCTCCAATCAAGGACAAAATGTCTGTTAAGGTAAGAGACGGCCTCTCCAACCCCCCAAAAAAGACAAAAAACACTGTAAATACTTCTACACTTTGTCCCAAGCACTTGTACCAGCTGACTTCCACACAGAGTGTAGATTGTAAAGCACCAAGCGGCTGTGAGGATGATGACTGCTGTTTTCAACTAATGGACACATAAACAATGCCTGTGCCATAATTACCAGTGTGCTGAGAGGCTCATTAATAGGCCAGCACTGCCTGGGTTTATCTCACTGGAGAAAGCACTCTCTTGGAAACCACTTTTCAACCTGGCAACCGAAACACCCCCATATTCTCACCCCTCCTGAGAGTCCACTGCTCATTACTTCAGTCATGATATGCAAAAGAAAACACACCATTCAGCCACTCTTATCTTCCTGTCTGCCTAATTTCTCTCTCTTACACCTTCTCTGCACCTTGGCCAACATTCGCATCACTAACTTGTCAGTTGACACACACACTGCCTATTTTAGAAACACCAACACACCACCAATTTCCCAGCCGTCCCAGAGTTAGCTCACTACTCTAACCTCTGTGCTTCTCATGCAGATCTACGTGAGGGCTCAGTTTGAATACGACCCCTCCAAAGACGAACTCATCCCCTGCAAGGAGGCCGGGATCCGCTTCCGGGTGGGTGACATCATCCAGATCATCTCCAAGGATGACCACAACTGGTGGCAGGGCAAGCTGGAGAACACAAAAAATGGCACGGCAGGCCTCATCCCGTCGCCGGAGCTGCAGGAGTGGTGAGAAGGAAAAACACACACAGGCACTATTCCTCCACATCTGCAATCCTTCAGCTCAACGGTAAATCCGATGCTGTGTGTGTGTGTTTGTGGTAGGCGAGTAGCATGTATAGCCATGGAGAAGACCAAGCAGGAGCAGCAAGCCAGCTGTACCTGGTTTGGCAAGAAGAAGAAGCAGTACAAAGACAAGTATTTGGCAAAGCACAACGCAGGTAAATTCATACACACATTCACAATCTCATGCATGTGCATAGACAACATCACTCCCTACACGCATGCATGCATGCATTTTACATATGTTTACACTTCAAAGAGTGTGTGTGCTTGTGAGCATGTGTGTCTGTCCGTCTGTCTGTTTGTGCAGGTGGAACTTGTATGTAACAGGATCTTGTAGCATTCATCTCCAGTAGCACAGCCACGGCCAGGAATGACAGGAAAAGCTGCCAGAGTGGCAGAAATCTTATATGAGCACAGGGGCGATTCAGGAAAATGTGGGCAGCTCATTGATATGGACACCAGGTCCAAGCCAGCAAATCTCTGCATTTTTAGGCTCAGTTTTAAATAACACGCCTGCATGAGGACGTGCATGTGTGCTTTTGTCATGTGTCAGCATTTGTCTCCTCAGTAAACAAGTGCTATCAGGTGCAGAGGCCCTGAAGTAGCATTAGCAGCAGATCTATATCTACATCTATATGTAGCGCATAGGTTTACTCTAATAAGATTTCCATTTTCTGGGGTGTTAGTTCATAAATTGTTGAAAGGTTTCCTATGTTGTGCCACACTGTAGGGTTTAGCTGCTGTATTGTAGTCTCACTGGGGAAAGGGAGGTCAGGCTCGTAACATAATTGATGAGAGGCTATGAAATGTGTCTGTGGGACCCTGTTTGGAGAATTTGATCTTTTCCAACTTAAAAAAGACAATGTTCCTGAACTATTTCTGTCCATTGAAGGACTGTAGGAGAGTCTTTACTCAATCCTGGTTATTACTTATACTTTTTTTGCTACCAACTAGTAGTTATTTTTTTCTTCTAATAAATATCTGTCCTGCTTTTGCAGCCCTGTTGGCAAATTTCCCAAATTTTCCTATGATTAATCAGATATCTGTAACCACATCTACCCAGTAAGGAAGAAATATTAGAACACGCCCAAAACATTTGAAAATGAGGAGCATACATATGACTACACATTCTCCAACACTGCCCATGTTTAGGTCTTTTGCTTTGTGACCTTCTTTATTCTAGGAATTATATTTTTTCAGGTAAATTTCTTCCATAGACCGGAGCTTGAGGTGGTAGACTGAGTCCTGCATTTGTTTAATCACTCATCTTTAGTTATGTTAGGTTCTTTTTCCCGCCTTGATTCAACAAACATTGTGGAAAGACCCCTCTCCAGTTGTAAAGATGAATAAAGCCTGGTTTATTCCTAGTTCATAGTATTACCTGTATATGCCCAATGAATATCTTTATCAGACTCACTCCTTTCTCTCCAGTATTTTTGATATATTTGTCATAGTTATGTCTCATCTCAAAGATATCTGAAGAAATCATGTTAAGGTTGCTGTTAGATTTGGTGCTGAACAGATTTTGTCAAAGTGCAATATCTGTCTGTCTGTAGAAACATATGTTGTGTTAATGTGTTGAATATTCACAGTTCACATAATCTGTAAGTGTTTGAAGATCCAGTCATCACTATGTCATGAAAGAGAGCCGATAAAAAGAAATCATATTGATTCACAACATCAACTCATGCAGTAAAATGCAAGCAAAACATTCCGCCTTACATGCTGATGGGATTCAGTGATTTTTTTTCTTCAGTCTATAGCTCGCAAATGTTAACTAGTAAAGACGAAAAGGGGCCAAACATCCTTTTATATGTAATTCACTCTTCTGAAGGGTTCTTTATTTGTGATGCACAGAAACAATAAAAAGCCAGCCTGTTAAACTTGTCCAGGTTGTGCTGCACCTACAGTGCAGGAAATTAACACTTGGTCAGCTACGTTTTCAATTCAATTCAATTCAGTTTTATTTGTATAGCGCCAATTCATAACGGAAGTTATCTCAGGACACTTCAAA